GCGAGGTGTCCCGCGTGCTGCTGCTGCTGCTCCTGCAGCCACCGCCCGCCCGGCTGCTGCCAGAGCACGCCCGGACCCTGGAAACGTACTCCTGGGAGGTCTTCGAGGGCCACGGGCAGGACGGCGGCGGGCAGCTTTCCGAGGAGCTCTTCCTGCTGCTCCAGTCCCTGGTGATGGCCACCCAGGAGAAGGACACGGAAGCCGTTAAGTCGCTGCAGGTGGCGCTGTGGCCGCTGCTGACTGCCGAGCAGAACCACCTCCTCCACCTCGTGCTGCACGAAACCATCTGCCCCTCGGGACAGGGCTTCTGATGAGTCACATTGGCCAGGAGGCTCTTGCCTGTGCCCGGGTCTCACGGGGTCCACCTTTGCGGTAGGAGAGAGAAGAAGAGACATCACGGATCCTGGGCCCACACTTGGTGTTATTCCTGCTGCCACCGCAGGGACTGGTCACCTCAGTGGACGTCACCTGCATCCTGTGTGCTTATGTCCACAGTCGTGGGCAAGGAAAAGCCACCGCGGCAGCGTGGAATCGGAGCGGAGCGCGCACGAGGCTGTTCTCCTGGAAACTGCCAGGCACCGATGAGAATCCCTGTCAGCTCCTTCCTCTAGACCCGCCTCCCACCCCATCGTTGTCTCACAGCGACGATTTTCTCTGCGCGATCTCATGGTGACTCTCATTGCTTAGCCCATTTCTGTGTCGCCGTGGTCACCAAGGCGCGCCTTTGCTTCGTCTGCGCCCTGCGTATTCACGGAGTCGTTTCGTTCCTGGCCACCTTGTTGCTGCAGCCCTGCATCCACGGTAAAGCCTTCCTAATACTCCTGACTTGTGCTTTAGAGTCACCTCGTTGGTGAAATGTGACTCCCTTTTCTACTCGTCAGGAGGCGACAGAAAGCAGAGGTGCACAGTTCCCTTTCAGCTCCGCAGTGTGTTCATGCGTGCGGAATGCACAGTGTGCCTGGCACGTGGACCCTGCAGCCGGCCAGCGAATCTGCAGAGAGCACTGGGGACGCAGCCCGCTCTCAGACCAAGGCCGTGCCAATGTGTCCAGGGCAACAGGTCCCGTGCCATTGTGCCCGCATTGAAATCCGCAGTTCCGGTCCTAGCCGGAGGGGTATATGTCATCTGCGTCACAACCTCTGTCTGTAATGGGGATCTCGCCGCAACTTTTATCTACCTCAAGCAGGTAAAATCGGAGCTGGCTCTTCGGTAGTGCATGTCTTCGTTCCCCAGAAGCAGGCTGGCGTTCCGTTTTAAAACACTAGGTTCTCAAGGCTTTGGGATCCAAATGTTATGTGCAAACCAACTTGGCGGTTTTCTTCTTTCCCTACTTTTACACTTTGGGGAGTGATAACACAAACTCTTTAGAACGTAACCTCTTTCTCCAGCATTCAACTTTGGGGAAAATGCATCCTTGAGGCTGAAGTTGTATACGGTACTCATCTTTTGGGGTGAGATTTAAGGACACAGTTTGGGGGTACATTTCTTTTTTTGTT